TTACCATCGTTTGTTTCTTGACAGTTGTTTAAACGCATCATTCCTTTGCTTCAATTGGCTGGTCTAAGTCGTTCAGAATGGACCCTCTCTCAGAGGTCTATTTCCGCTAAGGCAGTTTCCTCGAACTCGCCTGAGTAATTTTTCCTTTTGTCACTTTTCATGCACTCGTATTACTCGTTGATTCTTATAATGTTGATTAGCCCCAACGTGTCTTAATAGCTTTGCTTCGTAAATTATTGTACTCTGTATAAAGTGTTCTCATGCAGACAACTCGATCCTGACTCACCTTCGTGCTCTTCTTGAGGTCGTGGGGGCGTGCACGGTCAGCGGCGACACAACGCACTTACCGCCAGCTGCTGGAACTGAAGCACAGCACCAAACTAAAAGGTCATCTTTCGAAGCTGACAATAAGATATAGCAGGTTGGAACGCCGCTGAAATTCCCTTTTACTTCGAGTGTGTCAGCCGTGAAACCCTCTCCCAATTTCTGCCCCCAAACTAACGATATTTAAAAGTGACGTGACGAAGCATTGTTCTATTCGTATTTCATTACAGAACTTGTGTTAGGCAGGAGGCGACATAACGCAACCAAACGGTGTATTTCCATAATTTTCAACCAGTGGATTTATACTTTTATCCCGCGAACATTTCGGATCTTCTACGTATGTCTGAATACGAACACCACGGAGAATCCACCAAAACCCTCTTCATTTCATCATGAAATTTTATTTTCTTAATAGTTTTCATCCCATGAGAGTTGTTAAGCATTGCGTTTTTACCCGTAAACACATCATTGTTCCAGTGTTCCATCATTGGTTTACACACCATCAGAAGGCGTAGCAACTTGTAAGAACCATATGAAATTTAACTCATTGACCTAATGTAGGGCGACGAACAGCCTTGATGGCCACCAGGTTCTGTGTGGACTGCTACCGAACACAAAGAAGGTAAATGGTCCAGTGGCTGTCAACGGTTATAGCATACAGCAACATGCACGAATCGCTCCGCTGCCTTGCGGGTCAAGTCCTTAGGATCAAAGACTCCGGGTGGGGTCCATTAATTCAACCCTCTTTATCGGCTTGGGCAACCGGCAATTCACTGCCCACGAAACTTGCGTACCCACATAATCCATCCCCGACTACTTGTTTTCCTCGTTCTGTTGTTGTTACCTATGTATTGCTGCACTCTTCAAATTGTATACTGCGCAATTGTTGAATATATATATATATAACATATATATATATATAGTCTTTTTAAGCTGGATAAATTTCATTCCGCTTTATTTGGTTTGTTCCGCCTCCCTGAATAATGTTCTATTAACTGGCCACGTTGCTTACACTAATTGCGCTTATCTTCGGTAATTTTGTTGCGTTTGTAGCATTTTAAGTAACTTGTGGACATTTCTTACTTATCACGGATTTGTTGCTAACCAACTTACTTCATATGGTAATTTAGCGAAGAGTTATGCCACCGTATCTGTATGCGTTAGTGGATTTAGTTAATTTCAGCTTGTCGTTTAAAGTGAATGGCTGTTGTTTGATATCCCTGGTATGGTTGCGCTTGATGTGTATGTTGACAAGGTGCCTACCTGTCTATTACCCACTACATCGTTCATACTGGCTCCAGGAGACAGTTGGTCGTTGCTGGAGGGGACGGGGTGCACGGTTCTTGTTGCCGTGCTAGGCTCAAAGAGCGGTTCCATGCACTTAGTGTGGAGCGGACTACGGTCCAGCCACCGCCTTGTGTGCGGTTGATTCCCCAAATACAGCGTGCTTGTGTTTGCCTGTGAAGGAGTGTGGGCCGGCTCCGTTGATGAAACGTGGTTCCCATCCGCATGCCTCCCGGTCTTATTCCTTCGGGTTTACACTGGATATGGGGTATGTGGTTGGAGCTGTGGGTGGTGTAGCGCAAGCCATCCATGCTCCCTCTGTAGGCGCAGGCGTCCTGTGGCTTGCCACAGTGACAGGCAAATCCGAAACCGGATGCCGCCAACCATATATATATGACGGCTATGCCAAAAGGGCGCAAAAGTAGAGTACCTGAAGAGAGAATGCTCATGACTTGGAATCCTTTGAGTTGCGTTTCACGCTTCCCGTTAGTTAATCGCTTAGTTAAGAGTCGTTCGGTTGTTCTCCGAGCTGTATTTTCGCTGAAACTGTTTCATCGCTAGGCTTAGCGATATCATCGATACGGTTCTTCATTTTCAGAACCGAGTGACTGTTGCACTTTTGAACATTAAGGCTGGTAAAGCAATAAGCTTTTTATCCTATCTTTCCTCTTCGTTAATAGGTTTTGTCCCTTTGACATGAGGTGAATTGTTGGTTTGATCCATAGCGCTTCATGTGCAGTCTCTAGTCCCAAGCATTTATTGACTGAATTCTGTCCAACATACCAAGCTTCGTGGAACTGAAGCGCTTTCTGCATTCTTGCACCGCCGATTATTCCAACATCCTGCGTATGAAACCCATTTTTGCGTTTATATTCCCCGACATTAGTGAGTTGTTATCTTTGGAAATTATTGGGAATATCTGTGGCTCAGGATGTGGGTGAGAGGACTTTGGTGCTCTCCGAGCTAGACAATTTTGTTACAGATGTTTCGTTGCCAAGCTAGGCAACATTCTCAGTGCTGCTATAGGGGTCTAATTAACAGAGTCTTGTTAGCCACTGCCAGATCGAGTGACCGTTGATCGTCAGCTGCTTTGAATGTGTCCATTTTTTGTTAGAGTGGTAGGCGTTTTCCTGACGAAAAAGCGGTTGCGATACACATTCTGTAGTCTTTGTTGAGACAGTCCTCCGGGAATTAAAAAGAAGACTAGACAGTGATCAAAAAATATAAGATTAAGGAACAATAGGTTATTTTATACCTTACACTAATTTTAATCACCATTTGGCTGTAGCGCACTTTCATCGGCTGATTTTTGATGGTCATCTATCTGAGTTCATTAACCCGCACTGGTGTTTCTATCAATGATGTTCGGACCACCCCATATTGTCTGGAAGAAAGTTGTGCTTTGTGCACAATGCCCCAAACAGATTCATCAGTGTTCCTTTGGCCTGTGTTGGGTTGACTGCACAGATCGATGTTTCAGTCGACTGACAGCCCGTCGATTTCCCTGGCGTAATCTGCCAGCTATCATCACAATCCTCATCCGTCTTCCATAGCTGCTGGGTAAACTAATGTGTCTGCATTTGTTTGAAAAGGTTTTTTACCCAGCTACGAATTAGTTCATCGAAGCCTTGTACTCTGGACAGAAGTTAGTCCACAAATGTTTGAAGTTAGAGGCTATCTATGAAGTCTTGTGGATCAAACCAGCATTTTGCCTGAGGCCAAAGTGACAAAAACCTCTGTAGTGGTGGACGGAAATCAACAGGATAAAGAATACTAGTTGATTAGCCTACGTGATTTTGTCGAATTCTGACGCTAAAAACCGCGATAATCACTCGGTTCTGACATGAAAAACCACAGTAATATCGTTCAGCCTGGCAACTAAATGTTTGCAGAGAAAATACCCTGCTAGGAGAACAAGCGAACGCCCTCCACCAGAAACGCGAGCTACAAGTAACCTCCCCAAGTGCCACTCAGTTAATAGTAGCGATAAAAAGAGTGTAATTAGGTCGCCATCCGTTCTAACTTGGACAATAACCTCACGAAAACACTTCGCTTTTTCTTGATGGTACCGGCTGTGTGCATCATGTCCATCTTGAAGTGAATCACAATGTTTGCCTGCAATGGAGCGCATGTTTCCTAATTTCCACATAAAGCATGCGTAAATGGTATTGTGGCATGGCACCAATCTAGTCGTTGCCCATATCCGCATACCTTTCGGTCATAATTATTACGTTCAACACATGTGGGGGTGGAGCTGTGGATGGTGTAACACACCCACCGATGATCTCTCTATGTGACCGAAGGCGTCCTGTGATTGCACGAGTGAACATTTATGAACAAGTCAGGAAACCGACATCACCAAATGCAACCTAACTGGATCAGATAGGTAAGCAGCTTAGCCAATCCCTGTTGAAGACAGCCATATCTAATATATCAGACGGCGGTAAATAACAAGCGCGATGACGTAAGCCCAGTCTCTAATACATGGCAAAGATGTAGCAATAGGATAGCTCACATATTACTCTCAGCTTTGGCACAATCAGCCCAAGTACACAGTCGAGCAAATGGTGTAATTGTGTGAACCATGTGCCCAAGACAGTGCCCAAGACTGTTAGTACCTAAAATCGGTGGTAGCCGGTAATTTCATCATTCAATTACTCGAAGGATGCGCACCACTGATGAGCCCCAATAGGGCGAAACAACCGTCTGGTGCTTTTCCGGATAGCTGGTCGACATATCTGAATTGTCGGCTGATTGCAACGAACAAAAATACTCGAATACAAATTGACAGATGACCGAAATCAACATGTCTATCAATGGAATGAGCTGATGAGTTCCGATAGCATAGCCACCGTTCATTTAGCTCTTAAAAATAGGGCTTCTGAGAATAATAGAGTGTTTGGTATATTGAGGCCTCATTAGCAGTTAGAAAACCGTCCGCGAAGAGTGAGCATGCTAAAAGATGGAAAATTGTTACTGCTTTCCATTGCAACGTGTGCTGTGAATAAAAGGCACCACTAAGTCCAACGTACATCCGGCAGAAAAATTGGGCCTAGCCAATGGAAAGAAGATGTACGAAGAATCAGTGCAAACCTGCTAAATTCCGGTATTCATAAGAAAATCTTTCAATAAGTGCTTGTGTATCAGTTTCAGGTCTTTGTTATTAAGAATATTTGCGCGCCATGGCCCCGTCGAGCTCGACTGAAAGAAAATGTGCGGAATAGCTCGTTTTCTACGGCTACATGTGACGTTTGTTCGCAGCTGTATTTTGATCTACACAAGTTGTCACTGGTATTAGTAATCTAATTCGGTTGTGATTAACTGCGAGGATGTAGATAAACGTACGGTTGAACAATGATGAAGAAAGCATCAAAACTGGGACAAAAACTTACGAACACGTCTTCGTTGTTGAGTGAAACTGCGCCCACTGGATCGTGCGGATGATGCGCTGACTCCTTGTTGTACGGAAAACGATTCCAGTTCATAATGAGCTGTCGGTTCGGGAAGACTGAATCGTCGAGACGCCCGTGAACGAGTTCGAGAAAGAGCCATCGGTACTGATGGGTTGTTGTGCCCATCGCGCCGCTCGATACCTGCGGCAGCCACAGCAACAGCAATGGAGGGTAGATCAGCGCCTGAAATATTCTTCTTAGCCTTTTTCGAGGCGTTGGAGAGTATGCTACTTCTTGGGCTAAAGTTCTTTCCCGACGGGTGTTGGTATTGCTGTCGAAGTATAGAGCAATAGTACGGATGGTATTCGACCAGCGTTTCCAGGATACCCGAGGTGATTGAATCGTTGTGTTGCCGTCTAGTGGGTCGATTCGTTTGATCCACAGAACCCAATTCGTCCAGCTGACCAGCTTCAGCTTTGTGACTCATATCTGTATCAGTCGTTTTTTCTTGGTCGGACCAAGATGGGTCAGGTTCTGCGGAATTGCCAGGTGGTTTCTGATTAATAGCATCCCCAAGAGTCAAGGGGCCTTGGTTCACGTTTGCGTTGGTCCCCGTGTTACTCTCGCCCATGGTGGACATTTCATCCGCTCCGGAAAGCTCCTCAGATTGGGTCAGACGCCATGGTAGGCCAGCTCTCCAACCAGTCGCGACAACGAACGCCAAAGTAAGACAGGCCAAGGCACCTGCGCCCGGAAGATGCAAAGCGATCGACCCAAGAAGCCCGGTTACAGCGAGGCACATGAGTAGGATGCCACGTAAAATGTGTGAATGTTCCTGAAACATTTGGAGATATAAAAAAGGTGTGTTGCGGTGATGAATAAGTTTGTCCAATAGGCAATTTTATCTGCGTGTTTGCCCATAGCATTATTGGACATGTCACTGTTGCAACAGAGCACTGGTCTATTGTCTGTGGATTCGGCCTAAGTGATGATGTTGTGGGGGTGCATGTTCATAGAAAATTGCTAGCCCATGTGGATTGATGCGCTTGTGTTTGGAAGCAAGGAGCAAGCGATTGCAGACAAACTGATGTGAACGAATTAGATGGTGAGTACGAGCCTTAAAAATGTACTCGCTGTTTTATCCACCGTTCAATTGGCACACCCAAAGTATTTGATGTTGTACTTCGGGAAGAAAGCAGAAACAAACAAAGCAAACCATTTTTCATTCCAAAAGTCAAACAATTCGGACATACTTCTTCACATTGTCATCGATGAAAGAGCGGATGACTTGATTCCGCCGCTGGTACAGCTGAACATGCTGCGCTACCCAAAGTGCTAGATCCTTACCTTCAACCAGTTAGCATTATACCAGTAGCAGAGAAATGTGCCATCGAATATTGACCAATGGTTGTCATTTCAGTTGCATGGAAGGCATAAAGAGACAATTTTTAGAGAGAAAGTACCAGAAAACCTCCTAACACCATTGTAAAGAGAAAGCAAAATTAGGAGTCAGTTCATGCCTATCGCATTCGGCTTGTCGTAGTTGAAAGAGCGATGAAAATTCACACGAGTTTGCTTTCTAGACTAACAACTATTTACTTTTACTGACAAGATAGTAGTGCATCATTTTCACCCTATTTCTGTAAGCAAGATGTCTACCGTCCTTACGCTGATGTATAGGATTTGACATAGACTATACAGCCGTGCAGCCGCACTTTAACTCGGCTCTCGTTTTGTCCTCTGTGGCCACTCTAATTCTCCCCACACAATATTGTGTGTGCGCTCGTTCGAACCACTTCGAAGAGCTTTACTTAGTGCTTCCCCACTCTCGGATCTAACCTGTGTAGATTATACTCTTGCTCCAGTCCCCAGTTTTCGGCACATTCTTTACAGAGTTCCACCTGTGTAACTGCATCAAACCGGTTTTTCGGAAAAGATGTTGGTCTCATTCGGAAGAGGAAGCTGAGCGATCCCAAACTACGTGGCAACCATTCCTGCAAGTTGCAGCATAACAAAATTACCGTCATTTTGCTCCGCTCATCAACTAAACAGCTCTAGGGATACTTCTCAGCGTTGCACCTGCATCGTCGCTTAAGGCAGGCCGATTAACACACGCCGCCGCTTTGTGTGGGTGAGTTCAATTGCGAGTCGATTGATCGCTGAACCCGACAGTCTGAGCGTTACGACCTCCATCTGTCACGACCGCCTACCCTTGGTGCGGTTGAACAACTCTCAATTCGTGTGCGTGTTCTGACGGGTTTGTGCGTCACGCCTGGCGCAAAGAACACTCATCAAGGTGAGCGCTCAAATAGGCCTTGCTGTAAACAATAAGAGGACTACTAGCATTCCAATGGTTCCACGTCGCCTATGTTGCGCAGACAATTGCAGTAAAGTCCTTAAGATCAGTGTAACCTGTTCTAGCTGCATTAGATCGTACTGTCCGCAATGTGTAGGCAAATTCGTCCAAGAAGTGAGACAGACAAACAAAGTTGCTGACAATTTGGCTTTGCCCAACATGTCAAGTCATTCCAGTTATCAACTGTTTATCTTTGCTCGTGAAAAAGTGCAATAGGATGACTGAGATAATCGCGCCTTTTGTAAGTACTAAGATCAATCCAATGGAGGTAAATGTGGCCACGATAATATCTCACCGAGCCAAAGTAAGCTTTGAATCTAAGCCGAAGAAAAGAGCTAGACGCTCCAACCGCACTGCAGCGTCTGTGACTCTAAATCCACTGGGTCACCTCACTCCCATAAGTGGACATGCCTCAAATATGCCTGCATCCACTTCTCCAACCATAGATGCTTCACTTGAAGACTCTGCCATGACACCGACAGCTCAGAGCCGAAGGCAATCCAGTGCAGATAACAAGCAGGTGACGTACGCATCGATTGCCTCGAAAAACACACCGGGAGCAACACACGTAGGTCCATCTTCTGTACCGGGCACACGTGGCGCAAAGCAGCTTTCACCGCCAAATCCAGTGGTGCCTTCTAAACAAGCCAAATTGCCGGCAAAAACTATAAAGCCAACACTCGCTAGACCAAAGCACGTGTGCACCAATGTTCCCGAATCCAAATCTGGCACAATAAAAGACAAGTTGCAAGACGATAGCAATCATTGGAGTTGCATCTGCGAGGCGATTGGTATTCGGGTTGAGCCTGCAACGCTGCAACACGTAGCGCGTCACCCGACCTCAGTGCACTCTAGTGAACCTCGAATTCTTCGAATAACACTAGACTCAGCAAATGAGACAGAGGCTGCCCTGCTCTCAGCAGTTCGTCTTCGCAACTCACCGAGCGGAGTGGGCATATTACCTGACCTACCTTGGAAAGATCGCCCAAAAGAAGCAGTTGAAGAACGCGGCATTCCTACTAGGGGTAGCAAGAAAAAAAAGCTTTTCATGGTGTTCCCGAGCTTCTGAATTCTCCCGATCACGATGCGCAAACACATGACCGAGAGCAGTGGTGCTATATCCGCGAAGCACTCTGTGTGTTGACAATGTTATTGCTAAATCTCTGACAAGAGTTCCGTCATTACCTAACTACAAGGGCTGCGGTCCAAGACTAATGAAAGTAATATTACACTCCGAGGGAATGAAGCAAGTTCTGTTGGATAGCTGGTTAGTTTCGAGCTAAGTTGCCAACAGGGATCCGCCTAAAGGCAGCAGGCAAACGGCCAAAAATCATAAGCAATTCGATGGAACTTGCAAAAGCTGCAAATTCTTTATCTGCACAGTCCTGCGGAGAGACTGACATAACAATACCCACGGCAGACAACAGGACAGAGCACAGCACGAGTGAAACATCTGTTCAGGAACGCTCAATAATGCCATGCAACTTGACTGAAATACATAAACCAAAAAACGATTACTGGCCGGCCACCCAACGGCCGGCTTAAAAACTAACCGAAAATTGACATCCATCAGCGCACTCCTAACAACCAAAGCCCTAGCTTGCATGTACACAAACGTCCAAGGCCTTCTAAGTAAGTTGGCCGAACTTAGAACTCCATGCCTCACAACCGCGGGATCTCGTCATGATTACAGAGACATGGTTAAATCCTGAGATAACCGATTCTGAGATCAAGTTACCCGGTTTGTCGCTGCTTCGGACCGATAGAACCGGAAGGGGTGGCAGTGTGATTCTTTACTATAATACAAACCTCCGATGTGAAGTTATCGATCACACAGAAATACGCGCTCCTGATTAGCTTTGGTGTTGCCTATGGATGCGAAACAAGGACACATGTCTACTAGCCGTAATTTCCCGCCCACTAAACTCAACCTCGCAAATGGACTCCAAACTGAACCAGATTTCTTAGTTTGCTTTGGACAGGTCCTACACCCACATTCTTATCGCTGGAGACTTTAACGTGCATGACATAGAAACGCCGGCAACCGACGGTACGTAGTTTAAAGCCTGCTTGCAAGAGCTAATTGCTAGCCACCTTCTGTACAACCACGTAACCTCCCCCACCAGATTTCGTACTGCTAACAAGCCGTCGACACTGTATCTTGTTCTCACCAACGAAGAACTCATGGTTGACGGGATAGTTACAATCACATCACTGGGTCGTAGTGATCGTGTTACTCTACTCTTTGACTATATATGTTATGGGGAGTATCCTGAAACGCAGGTTGATAAAGTGCATACTGTCACGCATTATAATGTGTTAGCTACGCTTGTTAAGGATACATTTTGGACTTTCTTAACTGAATTCCCCCAGATGTTGCCTGGAAAACCTTTACAAGGACGTTTGGCACACTGGCTGCGCATGCATCGGAACAGAAGTTCTTCCATCCCAAAAACAAGCATAAGTCATTTCTGAGGAGCCGAATACGTAAATGTATGTCCCTGAGGGATTTGGCATGGCGAGATCACCAGGACTGCTCGAATGCCGAAGCCTGGACTGCATACGTAACACATCGTAACTTCTGTTTGAAACTGGTCCGCGAAGACAAGGTCACGCATCAGTAGGAGTTAATGAAGCGATTCTGTAGGAACCACAAACTTCTGTACAGGCACATTAACGGCCTTCGAAAGGTGAAGCGCAGGATTCCAGCATTAGTCACGGCTGATGGGTACACGCTATCAACAATGGAAGCAGCTGATCTACTACAGCTTCTTTACTCCTAGACTTTTCAGCAGGTAACGAGCCCAAACATTTTCCTCGTTTCGATTACTCCACTGTCGGCTTTAGACAACATCACCTTCACTGCGGAAGCTGTGTTGAAGAAGTTGTTATCCTTGCGTATCCACAGTTCTCCTGGAGTCGACAACATCCGACCAAAGGCTCTGCAGGCGGTAGCTAGTGATCTAGCAGAACCACTGGCTGTTTTCTATCAGCGATGTCTAGAAGAGAACCATATTCCACTAATATGGAAGCGAGGGGTCATCACTCCTATCCATAAAGGAGGTAGCCGCACTGATCCTACCAACTACCGTCCAATAACACTACTTCCTGTGCTATCCAAAGTGATGGAATCAATCATCGCAGATGCGTTGATGTAGTATCTGGAAAGTCACAACTTAATAGCCTCAGAGCAATATGGCTTTCATCAAAAGCGTTCATGTAATACCAACCTATTAATTGCACGTGATAGCTGGACTGAAGCTGTTGAGGATGGAGCAGGAGTCGATGTCATCTACCTGGACTTTTCAAAAGCGCTTGATCGCTTAGACCATCGAATTCGCCTTCAGAAGTTTCGGAACTACGGCATTGGCGACCTAATCCTGAGTTGGATTAGCAATTTTCTACACGAACGACGGCTAGCGGTGAGAGTCCGAGAATCATTGTCCGATGCAATCGATGTGGTGTGTGGTGTACCACAA